ACTGATTGAAAACGATGAGATATCATCGTCTGAAACAACATTTAATCATGCTCAAACTGTTCGAAAGATCAGTCTTCTTTATAATTCTATTTGCTGTATTTTTTTTATTGTGTATCATTCAAATATCATCATATTGCAAGTAGTTTGGGCTAGAAAGATGGATTGTGTGTGTGGTAATGTTTACGGTTTGATTAATAATCACGGGGTTGAGAGTTTTCCAAACAAACTGTGTGTACACGTGTTTACGATGACGAAATAATCACTTTTTCAATTTTGATAGTGTCCACATAAGAAACTATTTTTGTGACCGGTAATTTTAGATAATACATTTTCATCACAAAGTTTTCAGCAGACATACAATTTTAACTCGCTTAAAGTTCGAGTATTCTGTGCAAGTTAACGTGTTGGTAGTTTAAGGAGACATTCAGTCTGTTTTTATGGTTTTTTAGCTAATGTAAGATAATTCATATTGAGGAAAATAATCATATATTTATTTACAATTTTGATTAACAACAAAGGGAATAATACTGATGTTTTTTGTTATTTGATTTCTGTCACAGAAAAAACTGAAATGGGCAAGTTTAATCAAGAAATCTTTCCAATGTTTCAAATTTCACCACAGGAAGGAAGAAAAAAGTAATTTTTTTTTTGCTTGTTATTGGCCATTATTTTAGGTGTTTTCCCCTTTTAATTAAAGTTTTTCTCCCCATACTCAAATCTTTGTTCATAAAGACTTTCTGAATATTTAGCTATTTATGTGTTTTTTTAGTAGAATATACAGATCGTGATTGTTGTTGACCTCGTACCAGTCAGAACAGTAACAGTAGCATACGACACAACCCTAGAAAAATAGTCGTTATGTAAAATTTATTTTTTTCTTTTAAAGATAAATACTTAAGTACGTATTGATTTCCAACTTGGGAGAGGAATCTTATTTTTGTATGCATTACAGGGTATTTGTCTTAACATAGAAATTAGTTTCATTTCTAGGGCTAGCTTTCTTAGATAGATTTATGGCGGTAAATTTTACAAATAATTTGTATACTGTAAACAGTATCGTCAAAAAAAGATACACAAAGGCAGATAGTAAGTTTTCTGCAAATTTATTAACAAAAAAAAATTATTAGTTGATACTAAGTAAATGTTAAAGATAGATGTCTCAGTGTTGTTAATGGTGTAGAGGTTATTCAGTTTACTCAATAAATTATATTTCTGTGTCTAATTTTTGCAACCAATGAGTAAACTATTTAACAAGTAGTTTGATGTAATAAAATTTGCTTTATCAGTATACAAACAGTTATGAAAGTATTAATTTCATAGTTGAAGAATGATTTACACACCTTGCACCGAGCTGTTTGTTTTAGGGTCGGGTGTTATTTTTAATCATACATCAGTCACCTTTTTTTTTTAACAGGTCCAGCCCTTGGGGTGGGTGACGTATGCCCCCTGCACAGGGTGCCAAAATCGACATTGCAATCAGCAGTTCTTGTCAATTTTATAGGGGCAGGAGGGAGCCAGATACAAAGTTTGCACAGGCCACAATTTGGCCTAGGGTCGGCTCTTTTTTTTTTATATATAAAATTTGTTTTTTTGTTTCTCGTACAGAAAATCAGTACCAAGTATATTTTCTCAACCTTTAATTGACAGACTTTTGTATTTTTTAAATTAGTTCTGCACTGTTATGTCGTCCTCAGTTCGATATATACAAAGAAGTTGTATCATGTGGCCAAGTCCGTTTCTTGACTTCGTTACCAGTTTTTAATGCACTGTTTCCCTTGATTTGGATCAACAATAGGCACCAGAAACAATTCTTGAAACTGAATTGTGTCAAATTAAATATTTAAATTCTTTAATCTGCACATGATTTATTGGAAAACTTTTTAATTCTTTACTTACACAAGTTAGTTTGTTTGTTATGGATTTCGGCAAAGCTACACGAGGGCTAGCCGTCCCTAATTTAGCAGTGAAAGACTAGAGGGAAGACAGCTAGTCATCACCACCCACCGGCAACTCTTTTTACCAACGAATAGTGGGATTGACCGTCAGGTTATAACGCCCCCACGGCTGAAAGGGCGAGCATGTTTGGTGTGACGGGGGATTCGAACCCGCGACCCAAAGATTGCGAGTCGAGGGCCCCCTAACCACCTGGCCACTTATACAAGTGAAAATCTACGTGTATCAGTATGGACAATAACGGTTAAAAAAATTTCCAAGAAACAAAAATTGGTCAACAGCTTGTCATTTATTACATAAATGCCCTTAATAGAACTGTTCAATAAGTTACATATTAAGGTAAAAAGTTTGTTTTTAGTCTACTGGTGTTGCATTACCAGCCTCTGTTTATTTAAGCAACTTTCAGTTAGTATTTCTTACAAGTACAATAAAAAACAAACAATTTTCAACAGTTAATAAGATCGGTGAAAAGAATGTTTAGGAAAAAATTCAGTATCATCAAATTAAATAAGCTACACTTTTAACAACTTATAATGTGTATATACACATAGAATGTTCTACAATATTAGTGACAACAATAAAAGCGTTGAACGGAAATATTATATATAAATTATTTATTAAACTACACGAGATTCGGTGTGATCCATACGTTGAGGTTGTTGGCACTTCCTGGAAAAGTTCAATAGGTTTCAAGACATTCCTTTAGTACAGTTTTTGCTTTCGTTACCACGATACGTAGTGCGTTGTAGCAGGATAAGTTTAATTAACAAGAATACAAAAATGGTAAAGTTTATAAGCTACCAACTTACCATTTAATATTAATGGGTATCACGTTAAATGTTTTTTTTATTATCAAATCATCATCATCATCAAGTTTAATCTGTTACTTAATTTCTCTCTTCACAATGTTCGCAGGATTTTAACATGATGACCAATCAGAAGACATCACCATAAGCTTATTTTCAGATTATATCATATTTGTTCTGACCATGCCATTAGCTGGTAAACACAAATGACTTGGTTTTTAGTGAAAGATAAACAAAAAAGAACCTTTCGTACGATTTTCATTGCCACGTTTTATCTTCCTTCGTGAGAAATGAACGAAGATGATGTCTGTTACAAGTTAACTGTACTGAATCTGTAACTATCTCAAATCATTACAAATATTTTTTTTTATTTATAAAAAACTTTACAGAAGGGTGTTACAGTGAACGTATTTAAAGTTTGAGTTCCAAATTTTTTTGTCTCATTTCGACAACGAAACTAATAAGAAATCCCTGTACAAATATTTTAACATTGTCTTAAACTCGTTGTTACCAAAAACCAGCATGAGTTTGAGGTCTGATGCAATACCACGATGAAGATTAAATAAAAAAACAACAATAACAAAAAGACTATGTTACGTAACATGAAAAATTCAACCATTGACCGAAAAAAAACACACCAATTAATCACTTAAAAATATACAACAATTTGTTTAGGTGAGAAAAAAAACTCGGAGTTGTTTGATACAGCCATAGATCCAATGGTGTACATGTTGCGGCAAAGAATATAACAGAATAAACTTTGTTGTTTTTTTTCTTAAATAAAGCAACAATATAGCTTTAAACACCTTTCAAGATGGCGCTACACGTCATTGCAAAAATGGATATATTGTTTGCATTTTATTAAATGTCAATAAACTGAATCTAGAACTGAAATTAAACCCACTCACTAGAATAGTGTAAAAAAAATATGAACAATGATTACTACCTTTTAACTGTAAACTTTTACTACTACAACAGTACAACCCTAAGAAGCTCCTAGTAATGTATTTACACATTTTTACAACGTATAATATAGAATGCATGAACTTACACAAAAAAATGGGTGTCATATTAGTTAATTGGTCATCAGTTAGACACGTTCACAACTTCTGTTAGATGTTTTCTTAAAGAACCTAAAAACCAGTTATATTTTATCAAAAAAAAACACAAACCTTTCCTTTCTGCAACCGAAATAACATTTTCAGTACATAGCTCTGCTGTCTGTCAGTAACCTTGCATAAATTACAGAGGGTTTACTGATCCATTTACAGACTGGAAGTGATATCTATAACAGTAGAAAAACAGTTATGAAACATTGCTATAAAAATGCATATGTACAGAGACTCGTGTTTGTATAATGTATATATATATATATATATATATATATATAT